TCTGATCAGACTGGAATTTCTCCAAATTCACATGCCCAGACCAGAAAAGGCAGGAAAATAGAGGCCACCAAGAGGCCTGTGGCAACTTCAAACAAACAGCAGTTCTCCATGACAGATGTTTGAAATTATACACATCACAACAACGTCCCACCCATTTCATTAACATAGAAGAAAGCTTTTGTTGAAACATACTACTTCCTGGCTGGAATTTTCCCAGTGACGTGAGATTTTCAATTTGATTTACTGAAACGTTGAAACTGTGCGATGAGACCTGGGCCCATATTCACAAAACATTTTATCTTGCCACTAAGAGTTCTCCTAAATAGCAGTGAAAATTTTTAGCGAAGAGTGTTCTCTTTAAACCTATTCACAAAGCTGCTGAGACAAATATTTTACCAAGGAATAGAGAGAAGTCGTAAGCTAAGAGAAAGGGGTGGGGTTGACCTCGTTGCTATGGATGAGTCAGCATGCTTGCTAACTATGCACACAGTGATTGACTGATAGGGGAGGGGTCTCTGTCAGAGATATATTTATAGAAATACTGTAGAGCGCAATATTATTTTCAAATAAATATTCATATTCAAATAAAAGGTAAAAAAAAAAAAAAAAAAGTTAATTGCCACATTCAAATAAAGATTTTAAGATGCGTCACTAATTAAAGTACAGTCATGGCCAAAAGTATTGGCAGTGACAAATTTTGTTTTGTAGATTATTTTTCCACGTTCCTATGGTATACTGAAAAACAATGAAAAGCTTATACGTTTTAAGGCTTTTATTGGCAAAAAAATAAAATGAGTCAATATTTACAGTGTTGACCCTTGTTCTTCATAACCTCTGCAATTCGCTCTGGCATGCTGGATATTAAACACAGGACTCATGATAGCGTTCACCTTTTCTTCTCCGAACAATCGATTTTCCAGATGTCCCAAACAGTCGGAAGGGAGCTTCATCAGAGAAAATATCTTTGCACCAGTCTTCTGCTGTCCAATCCTTGTACTTCCTGCAGAATTTTTTCTGGTTTTTCTTGGAGAGAAGTGGTTTCTTTGCTGCCCTTCTTGACACCAGGCTGTTATCCAAAAGTATTTGCCTCACTGTGCGTGCAGATGCTCTCACACCAACCTGCTGCCATTCCTGAGCAAGCTCTGCACTGGTGGTGACACGATTCCTCAGGAGGAGACGGTCCTGGCGCTTGCTGGACACTCTGGGATGTCCTGAAGACTTCTTCACTGCAGTTGAACTTCTCTCCTTGAAGTTCTTGATGATCCAGTAAATGGTTATTTCAGGTGCAATATTCTTTGTAGCAATTTTCTTGCATGTAAGGCCATTTTGATGCAAAGCAATGATGGCTGCACGTCTTTCTTTGGAGGTAACCATTGCTAACAAGAACACAATGATTGGAAGCGCTTCTTCCATCCTTTTATAGCAATCAGTCTGCTCTTACAATCTAATTAGTGTGATAGTGATTTTACCTGACTAGTACTCATTCACACTTTCACATGTGCTGCTGATATGATTAGTCAATTAATGTTAGCTGGTCATTTTGTGTCAGGATCAAAAAAACAGTGAAATTAGTTTTTTTGTGAAAAGTTCATTTTTTTGGCCACTGAAGCTTTTAGCAATTATTTAAAATGCATCTGATCTGATCACACAATAATCTAGAAACAATGTGAATGAATGAACACCACAACAGCTTAAGCAGCAAACTTTGCGAAACACAAAATTTGTCACTGCCAAAACTTTTGGCCATGACTGTATATGTTCAGCTAATTGCCAGCCTCTTACATGTATGCTTCTCATAAACAATTAGCGGATATGCATGTAAACAGCCTTTTAATGAACAAAGTAGAATAATCATGGCTGATAGTAATACATGCAAACAAAAAAAAACAATCTTGATGCAAGAACAGCTGTTACTTCTTGCCCAACTGGTTAATGAAATCAAGGATATAATCAAAGAAAATTTGGAGTTGGGATAACCTCCAAAACCAAAGGCAATACCTTTTTAAAAGCTCATTATCATCAAATGTTTCTAAAATGTTTACATTCCGAGGCAGATTGCCAGCAACAGCCATTTTAGGATAGTTTGTGGCTTGGGGTGTGTTCCACTCCACTTTTAGACACGCACTCGCGAACTTCCCTAAGCACTTCCCCTCGGGGGAATCCCCGCTGCCATTTTGAAGTGTGTTCCACTTTGTGAAGTGGACGAGGTAAGTTTATATGGACAGATCCTCGACCCCTCGATTTTGACCGAGCGAGCGAGTCGGCTTCATATGCACACTTCAGGCAGCTCCATAGACCACAATGCAACACGATTGTGACGTCATCGCATATCGCGTTTAATTTATCCCCACCCCAAACAACTCTATAATATATAAATGATTTTTTTAACATTTATAACAGCCCAAACATACCTATATACATATAGAATGCTGCACCAAACAAATTCATTAGGGAAAAAATTTAAACAATAAACCAACCCCATAGCTGATTCTAAGTGTTCAAGGGCTTAGGACATTTCAGTTCAGCCCATTCCAAGGGTTCCGCCAGAAGTGGGCACTCATGCAACGTAATCAATGACGTACATCCGAGTAAACGAGATGGAGGGAAGTTTGCGAGTGAAGGGTATAAAAAAACGGACTGGAACGCAGCCCTGGTCTTAGTGACTTAGGAGTCCTCTTCACTACTAACATTTCACAGATTTAGGGGCTTGTTTTAGTACTAAAATGCTTTGAGAAATACTCTTACAGCTAAAATGTATGAGCTACTTTTAGCCTTAAGATGTTTAGTGAATACAGGCCCAGACTTTTAAAAATGTCCATGTCTTGAAGGTAAGCTCTACATTGCTTGATTTGGTTTTGTGAAAAGAATGTTGGTGGCAGCTTATGTCTTAGGGATGTTTCTTTTTTGCAAAGATGGAAGACTGGAAAATGGTTGGGGCAAAGCACAGAAAAATCCTGGTGCTGCATTGCATAAAAACACCAGAAAATAAACAGAAACGTTCATCTTCTAAATTCCAACTTGGAGTTTGAGCATTACTGTAAAAGAACAATTATTTTTTTAAGAAGACCAACAATTCAAAAGGATTGAATAAATTTGTTTCCGACTTTTAATGGATTCTCTTTTTTTCTGGCCATTGTGTGGCAAATATTACATAATATGGTTGAATTAAGAAACAGAAATAGTAAAAAATATTAAATATTTATAGGTACTATAAATAACTATCAAAAATTTTCAAAGATACAGCAGTAAAAATAAGCAACAATCTTACACTAATTATTCTCAGAGTTTGCACAGCAATACGGCAGGAAAAACCAAGCATTATTAGAGGTTTTAACGCTTAAGAAATTCTGTTCGGCACATGAAACAGTGCCTAAAACCCCTCTTAACTGTGGCAGCAACATCAATATGGCAACACACACCAATGTTCAATAAACAATTAAATATATTAGTAACAAGAATCACAATAAGCAATTAATCTGCTAAATAACATCTGCCAAGTTCATTAGCCAAAATCAGCAAATCATTTACGGTTGCCAAGCAACTTGGCATATTAATATAATATTGAATTTGTGCCGTTTGTTGGTGAGCACATTAGCGATTTCAAAAGTGCTTTTAACATGGCTTATCCAGTCAGATTTTATAGCAGGAAATACCCATTTCTGAAATGGGATTTAATGGCATTGGCCGAACAATATGCAACTATGTCTAGACCTCATCAAACCGCTAATGGAGATGTCTTTGAGCCATGATTTTTTTTCCACCAATAATGTTGCCTGTTCTTTAAAAAAAGAAAACACTGAGACTCCAGTAATCCACACCAAACATTTCTCAAACAGATTTTAATTCACAACTCGATAACAGTAACTAAAGATACAACACTGACATTTACAGCTTTTGAGTGTCACAGATTCAACTGGATGAAAATAAAAACTGATTAACAGGAAACCAAATTCTGCTTGTATTTTGCATGTGAATGAAAGTTTATTTTTAAATGAAACCCATATGTTGGTTAACTCAAAACTTAAATTTATAACAATTTTTAAATGTTTGCCTTGTGGCGCCAATAAACTGCTGCATTGCCATCTTCTACTTTAGTTTGAATGAGACCTTCTGAACCAAAGGCCTTAATTCTCCCATATCTCTTCCTCCTTTTGCACAAAAAGCAAGCATTCATCCTGTTGTGCCTTAAAATGATTGCTCTATGCAGATGAATCATCCTCAACAAATGAATCCTGGTGAGGCAATGACCTTAAAAAAACACCTTGAGCAAGATTTAACAGACAACATGAATGAATTTTTCCTTTTCCAATTTGCTACCTTCAGATGTTGCCTTAATTAGTGATGGATCAAAACCATCCTATTGAAGATCAGTTTGTAATTTACAGAATTTGGTTAAATGTGTAGAAGATGACATGGACCAACCAACTTATGGATGTATGGAATGAACAATATTAACTGCAAGATTAATGACAACATTTTTGTATTCAAGTGTTTGAGGTACGTTCAATCAATGGACAAGCAAGTCCACTTCTTGACAGGATGCTGAGAACTCAGAAAATGAAGCATTTTTTTTTGCAATTATTTGTGGTCATGGCACCAACAAAACTAAGGAAACAAAAAAACAGGGTTGGCACATTAAAAGAAACATTGGAGGAATTTTTGAGAAGTGGAGTGCAGAAAGAAACAAGTACATCAAGAAGGAAAAAGTACAAAGATTCAGTTAAATTTCACTCTTCTCAAAGTATAAGGCCATTTATTTTGCCCTGAAATTAAATTAATATGCAAAAGTGCCCCCAATTTGAACATGTTAAGAGTCTAAACAAAAATATCATACGCAGTCAATGCCGGCAGACTAACATATTACAAAAAAAAAAAAAAA